CTCCCCTGCTAGCGGCAAGGGGCGAGACGACAAGACGGCGTCGTGCTCGCTGGTCGGCGTCGTGGAGCCGACCATCTCTCTGGCACCGGAGGCCGGAGAGGACTTCCAGGCGGTGGCGGCAGGTGTGCAGGCGAACCCGGCGGTGGTCCTGCTTGACAGCGGTTGCTCCCACCACCTGATGGGGACGAAGGAAGCCTTCGTCGACTTGCAGCCGAGCGGCGCCATCAGGCATGTGCGCGGCTTCAATGGGGCGCTGCAGGATGTCCAGGGCCGTGGCACCGTCGCTCTGCAAGGAAAGGCCGGGAAGGAGGTGCTCATCCCTGACGTGTTGTACGTCCCGGGTGTGCGAGCCAACCTGCTGTCGGCCGGCCAGCTGAAGGAGCATGGCGTGAAGCTGCAGGAGGACGGAGACGGCATGCTGCTCGTCTCGGCAGCAGGGGAGGTGCTCGGGCGGGCAACGTACTACGGGCGAGTCCTCTGCACCGACCTGCGTCCCTGCGCGACGAGGTCGACGCCGCCCACGACGGAGGTTGTGGCTCTGCGGCGATCATCTCGAAGACGAAGTCGACGCCGGACCGGATGCATGCGAGGCTTGCGCACGTCGGCATGGACACCATACGGAGCTCGGCGAAGAAAAAGGTCGCCATTGGGCTGGACCTCAAGTCGGCGACGGACGCCGACTCCCTGTGTGTCTCGTGCGTCGGCGGGAAACTGGCGCGGCACACCTTCCCCGATCTAGGCTCCGACGCCGAGGACGTGCTGGCCGTCGTGCACATCGACCTGTGCGGGCCGTTTCCGCGTGACTGCCAAGGATGGCAGCCTGTACTTCTTGCTGCTAAAGGACCGCAAGACCCGCTACGTGTGGGTGAAGCCGATCGCCAAGAAGTCAGATGCGTTGCAAGCGTTCGTGCAGTGGCTGGTGGTGGCTGAGAGGCAGACGAAGAAGTCGGTGTTAATGCTGCGCTCAGACCGGGGAGGGGAGTTCCTCGGGAAGCAGTTCACCGACTTCGTGAACGGCAAGGGGATCGTCCACGACCTGACCTGCCCATACACCCCGCAGCAGAACGGCATGGCGGAGCGGGAGATGAGGATGGTGGTGGAGTCGGTGCGGACAATGCTGCTGCACATGGGTGTGCAGCACCACTGGTGGCACCCTCGCTCTGCGGCAGGCCATCTGGGTCCGCAACTGCCTTGAGAGGTCGACGCTGCCGCCGGGGACGACAACGCACCAGCTGCTGACCCAAAAGAAGCCCGACTTGTTGCTGGCGCGAGTGTGGGGCTGCATGGCGCAGTTCCTTGTCCCTGAGCAGCAGCGTGGTGGGAAGCTGAAGCCGAAGGCCAAGTGGGGCCTGCACCTTGGCGTGTCGGCGGCGAGCAAGGGCTGGGAGCTCCTCGACGTCGACACCGATTGAGTGGTCACCACGTCGGACGTGGTGTTCTACGAGGAGATGTCGCTGGCCGAATGGAAGACCGAGCATGGGCCGGTGCCCGGCCGCTCATCGTCCACCCCGCCCTCTGACACCTCGTCGGCGACGCTGCCGTTGCTTGCCGAGGTTGGTGAGCTTGCTACTAAGGACGTCGAGGACGTCCGCCCCCCTACCCCTCCCCCTCCGACCCCTGCCCCTCCCCTTGTGGCCGACCTGCGTGGGCTGACCTCGATGTCGGCCTCCGGCGATGAGGGGAGTAGTGGGACGCCGCCTTCGGCGCCGGCCAAGTGCATTGCCGGTGGGCCGACGTGACGAGCGGCAGGTCGACGTGGGTTTGCAGTCGACGTCGACAGGGGAGAAGCAGGTCGAGGAGCTGTCGGCGACCGGACCGTCAGCAGGAGAGCCAACCCCAGGGGAGAAGTCGGCTAGGACGCCGACCACAGGGGAGCAGTCGGCTGGGACGCCGGCTGAAGAGCAGCAGGACGCTAAGGGCAGCGACGACAGCGACGATGGAGGGGACGCCGAGGAGGTCCAGCAGGGACCCACGGCGTTCAGGCCGACTGCGGAGGCCGCCTGACTTCTTCGTCCCCGTTGCCTTCACTACGGTGTATGACGTGGACGATGACGACGACCTGCTGTACGACGACGCCGAGGAGGATGAGGAGTTTCAGGAGCTCGACCCCGACATGCTAGCCGACCCGAGCACCGTTGGGACATCTCGATGATGACGGTGAAGGCGGCGTTGGCGAGCTGGAAGGGCCCGGCGGTGAAGGCCGCCATGGAGGAGGAGATTCGCAGCCTCATCAACATGGGCACGTGGGAGCTGGTCGAACGCCCGCCGGGAGTGAACGTCATGAAGAACCGGTGGGTGTTGACGACGAAGTACCACATCGACGACACCGTCGAGCGAGAGAAGGCAAGGCTGATCGTGAAGGGCTTCACACAGGTGTACGGCGCCGACTACGATGAGACGTTCGCGCCGGTGAGCAGCTACGTCACGCTGAGGATCTTCCTCAGCATCGTCGCCGTCCTCAACCTCAACCTGATGCAGCTCGACATGAAGAACGCCTTCCTGCAGAGCAAGCTCGATCGGGTGTTGTACATGTACCAGCCGGACTACTTCAACGATGGAACCGGCCGGGTGTGCAAGCTGCTGAAGAGCCTGTACGGGCTGAAGCAGTCGCCGCTGTTGTGGTACTTGGCACTCAACGATGTGCTGATCGGCGCCGGGTGGAAGAAGAGCCAGGTCGATGAGGCTCTTTACTTCAAGGTCGGCGAGGGTGAAGTAGTCTGCTGGGTGCTGGTCTACGTCGACGACCTGCTTGCCGCCAGCAGTAGCGCCGCGATGCTGAAGGAGTTGAAGGAGCTGCTCGAAGCCGCCTTCGAGATGCGTGAGTTCTCGCTGGTGCAGAAGTACCTCGGGCTGGAGATCGTGCGCGACAGGTCGGCGGGGAAGCTGTGGCTGCACCAGCAGGGCTACGCCGACAAGCTGCGTCGGCGCTTCCTCGACGAGGAGCAGACCGGGCGCACCCCGAAGATGCCGGTCTCGGTCGGCGCCTACGCCGAACTCACCTTCGACGATGAGGAGGCGCAGGAACGGCAGGAGGAGGAGTACCGGCAGAAGGTCGGCTCGCTGCAGTTCGCGGCGACGACGACAAGGCCAGACATCGCCTTCGCCTGCAGCAAACTGGGGAGCGGCCTCACGGTGAGGAGCGACCAGCACTGGTGCGAGGTCGACCGCTGCCTCACCTACCTCGCCAACACACGTGACACTGCCCTGGAGTTCGGCGGTGGACCTGAGTCGCTGGAGCTGGTCGGCTACGTGGACGCCGACGACGCCGGTGACAAGCAGAATAGGACGAGCACGAGCGGCTACGTGTTCGTCTACGGAGGGGCTGCAGTCTCCTGGTCGAGCCAGCGCATCAAGTGCGCGACGTTGTCGTCAACCGAGTCGGAGTACGTGGCGGCTACTGAAGCTGGCAAGGAGGGACGCCGCCTTCGCTTCCTCCTCGCAGAATTCCGGCAACTGGAACGCCGGGAAGCCGACTGTCCTGCGCGTGGACAACAAGTCGGCCATCACGGTCGCCGAGGGCATGGGGTTGACGGGCAATCTCAAGCACATGGAGCGGCGACAGGCCAGGCTGCAGCACATGGTGAAGCGCGGGAAGTTCTCCCTGCAGTACATCCCAACCGCTGAGCAGCCGGCCGACTTCATGACGAAGGCGCTGCACTATCCGGCCTTCAACCGGTGCTCCGTCGCAATCGGCCAAGTGCGCCTGGCAGATGTGGGCGACGGCGACAACGACGTGCAGCAGTAGGTGCCATGCCCTCTTGCATGCTGGTGCGGTGACTGGCGTGCTGTGTGTTGGGTGCATGCCGACGGGCTATTCTCGGAGTTGTACTGCCGTGTGGGGCTGGGCGCCCAAGCGTGAACGCGGCAGGGGAGTGTCAACGGGAGCGTTGTAAGGCCCCGTCCTCGCTTGGGCGGAGCCAACCTTGTGGTCGGATGTGCGGGGGTTGCAGCCGACCTGCAGCAGTGGGCACGAGGGCCACTGCAAGGGCGCCGAGCTGGAAGGCGCCTGGCTGGAGGGCGCCGAGCAGGAGGACGCCGCCCTGGACGCCTGGTTGGCATCCAGGACGCCTGGACAGCATCCTGGGAAGCTGGACGCCGAGCTGGGCGTCGCCACGACTACCCGGGCGCCTGGTCGACGTCGTGGGTACCTGCACGGCGCTTTGGAAGGCCAGACGCCGACCTAGGTGTATGCACGGCGTCCTGGGGGTCCGGACGCCGACCTGGGCGTCCCGGGGTGTCTGGTCGGCGTCCTGGAAAGAGGGACGCCGCTGTGGAGGTTTGGGTCGGCGTCCTGGGCGTCTGGACACCGACCTGGGGGTTCGGAAGGCGTCCTGGGCGCCTGGACGCCGGACTGGGGACGCCGGGCATGCGTGGCCGGCTACGGACTGCGTGGGTCGACCACGCGTGGTTGCCCGGGTCGATCGGGATACCCGGGCGACGTGCGCGAGTGTCGCCAGGGTGGAGATTGCGAGACCGACCTCGGGGGTGGTATCCCGAGGTCGACGTGGCTGGTGGACACAGTCCGCTGGCGTGGAGTCTGCCAGGCGTCTGCGTTGTGCACATGACAAGGAAGTGCGCACCAACCAGCTGCGCGCACCTGCGAAGCAGGTGCACCGTTGTCCTGCGGGTGCAACGATGTGCAGCCGACTTGCTGCAGCACTAGCACACCGTGGAATTGCAACGTTGGCGAACCGCTACCCTGCTACGCTGGAGCGGTGCGAGCGCTGCTGCGCTGGAGTGCGGTCGACCGTGCTGCGCTGGAGGTCGACCAGCAGCCTAGCTAGCACTGATGTAGTCTGTGATGCCAATGTTGTTACTAATCATTCTTGTCATGTTTCCTAGTGAAACTCTTGCCAATTCTCCCCGTGAACTAGCAAGAAGCGTGAACACAAGGAAATGACTAAGTGAACGGACGTAGAGATCACACGAGCACACGTGCCTAGCCCATAGTCTAGCTCCCGTTGCAGCAGTTATCTCCGCAGGGGGTTCTGAGACTGACCATGCTACGCCTGGTGGCGCTCCCTCTTTACAGCAGCTGCGTGAGTGGTACTCTCAGCGTTGCAGCCTCCGGCGTGGGGCTGCTGGAGCTGGGGTTCTGCCGGAGTTGGAGCTGGGTGGTGCTACGGGTGCCGTGTTGCAGCCGGAGCCTCCCTCCCCACAGCGGCTGCGTGAGTGGTACGCTTGGTGCTGCAGCCTCCGGAGCGGCGCTCCTAGTGCTGGGGTGCCGCCCGCTGGAGACCCTGGTGCTGCTGGAGGTGCTGGAGCCTCTGGTCCTCGAGGTGCTCGTACAGGGCGGTACTGGAGCTGCTGGGACTGGGGGTTCTGCTGGGGCTGGATCTGGAGCTGCTGGAGCTGGTACTGCTGGAGGTGCTGCTGGTGCTGGTGCTGCTGGAGGTGCTGCTGGTGCTGGAGCTGCTGGAGGTGCTGCTGGTGCTGGTGCTATTGGAGGTGCTGCTGGTGGTGCTGCTGTAGGTGCTGCTGGTGCTAGAGCTGCTGGAGGTGCTGCTGGTGCTGGTGCTGCTAGAGGTGCTGCTGGTGCTGGAGCTGCTCCGGGAGTTGGAGCTGGAGGTGCTACTACTGGAGCTGGCGGTGGTGCTGCGGGAGTTGTAGCTGGACACCCTGGGGCTGAGGGTGTTGGTGCTGTCTCTGCTGGTTCAGGAGGAGCTGCGCGGCCGCGGCCGTACTACGTTCCGCTCCTTCAGCAGGTTCTTGGCCTCCAGCCCTCTACTGGCCCTACTCCTCCCCTAATGAGTCCACCGCCTGTCCAGTCGCAGTCACAGTTACATCCTGCCTCTCCGCTGCCTGGTCCTTCTCCTTACGCTAGGACGACTAGAGGTCTTACGGGCGTCGTGAGCCTGAGTCTCGTCCTGCGTCGCCTGAGTCTTGTCCAGAGCCGTCTGTCCGTGCTGTCCGCACTGGTCGCCGTGTTTCGCGTGATCTTCCTCTTCTAGTCCTGGGCACTCACAATGTGACTCTGCGTCCTTCTACTGCTCCACAGCGTGTCCCTCTGACATCTCCTCCTGCGTCCTCTCTTCTTGCTCTTGCTGACCCGGAGTCTGACTCCCTCCGTGCTACCAGTCCTACTGTCACGCGTTTCCTCGCCACTGTTGTCACTGACCCTTCCTTTGAGTCCACTGTTGTTTCTGCTCTAGTCGCTGAGCTTGTTGACTTTGCTGCCGCATGTCGTCTAGACTACGCCGCTAGCCTTGTTGCTGAGTCTCAGTCTGAGTGCCCTCCATAAGTCGGTGGTGAGTGTGCTCTGGGCACAGACGTCCTTGAGGATAGACAGGAGGAGTTTGAGTGCTTTGGCGCTGCTTTATCTCATCTTGTGTCCATGTTGATTGCCCCTGAGGGAGACCTGGATGCACCAGACATCCTGACCCCGCGCTCATTACGCAGAGGCGATAGAGGGTCCCTACTCCTCTCAGTGGCAGTCAGCCATAGACGCAGAGATGGCTTCTTGGAAGTCCACAAGCACCTACGTCGACGAGGTTCCCCCGCCTGGGGCGAACATCGTCAGTGGCATGTGGATTTTCAGGGGTGAAAGCGGCCGTCAGGTTTCTCCGCCTGTCTTCCAGGGCGCGTTACGTTGCACGATTCTTCAGTTAGCGTGAGGGAGTTGACTTCTTCACAGACTTCTCCCCTACCCCGAGATGACCACTCTTCGGGTTCTGCTGCACGTCGCTGCTCAGCGTGACTATGAGCTCCACTCTCTTGACTTCAGCACTGCGTTCCTACAGGGCAGCCTGCACGAGGAGATCTGGCTGTGCCGCCCACCTGTCTTCACTGGGTCGTTTCCTCCTGGTACCTAGTGGAGCCTCCGGCGGCCAGTCTACGGTCTCCGCCAGGCACCCCGTGAGTGGCACGACACACTGAGGACTACTCTTGCTGCTCTTGGGTTTGCTCCTTCTACTGCTGACCCGTCGCTGTTTCTACGCACCGACACCAACTCTGCCGCCGTTCTACGTTCTCGTGTACATAGACGAATTGGCCTTTGCTACTGCTAACACAGAGGCACTCGCCCGCGTGAAGTCGGAGCTGCAGAAGAGACACACGTGCACTGACCTGGGTGAGCTGACAAGCTATCTTGGCTTGCGGATTGTGAAATGAATAAGCAGGAATGAGAATGACTAAGGAAAGATTGGGTACAAATACAACCCTAGAAAACCCTGTACCCCATATGTGCTACCCCACTATAGCCTACAGCAACTATGTCATATAAATCTGACACACCCCCATAGGCAAAGTGGGGGAGAACAAGGGGTCACAAGACCAGTCAAGCAAAGCAAAGCACGCTCAGGGTGGATCACAAAGTCACCCACACAGTCCGAGCACAAGAGTAGGGCCAGAGGCCAGTTCACATGCAGGAGTACAGACATATATATAAAACTAGACAAACAAGAGCAGGCATATATATATGTCACAGTACAAGTGAAGTCAAGAGGAGAGCAAGTGAGGCAAGACAGGCACAAGACCCAGCTGGGTGCAAAAGCGCTGATGGTCACAAGGCGCGAGTGCCTTGGTGAACACATCAGCAGTGTTGGCCTCAGAGGCCACGTACGCAAGTCGCAACTGACCACGCTGCTGCAGCTCACGAGCAAGGAAGTAGCGGAGAGCAATGTGCTTCGTTCTGTGCTCCAAGCGCTGCTCTCGACACAAGGCCAGCATAGCCTTGTTGTCTACGTACAGCACTGGAGGAGAACGAGGCGGCTCTCCAAGGTCAGTCAGCAGGTAGGTGAGCCAGCGAAGCTCCTGTGCAGCCATGGCCCAGGCGTAGATCTCAGCCTCACAACTGGAGCCGAGAACCGAAGACGAGCGAGTAGACCGCCACGAGACAGAGCCGGAACCAAGGCTGAAGGTGTAACCCTGTGACGACCGCTGCGTAGCCTGGTCGTCAGCCCAAGAAGCGTCCGCGTGGCCGGTAGGACCACTGGACTCCGCCCTCCAAGCACTAGCCCCATGCCCGACGTACTGCACAGGTAGCGCAATACCCTCTTCGCTGCAGCCATGTGCCTCCGGTCGGTGTCTCCCAGGAGCAACATAGCGTGCAAGAATGCTCAGAGGGTATGCAAGGGTCAGGTCGTGTGCAGGTCATCAGGTACATGAGGCAGCCAACAAGCTCTGCATACGGACCACTCGACTCTACGGACTCATCCGAAGGCAGAGCTGAGAGTGAGTGGCGAGTAGGCAGAGGAGTGGCCTGAGGCGAGGAGTACGTGAAGCCGAAGCGCTGAAGGACCTGCTGCACCATGTGTGACTGAGTCAAGGTAATGGTGCGGCGTGCTCTGTCCCGAGTTATCTGCAAGCCAAGGTAGCTGCGCAGTTCACCCAGGTCTGTGCACGTGTGTCTCTTCAGCAGCTCGGACTTCACGTAGGCGAGTCCAGCAGTGTCCGCTGTGGCAAAGACCAAGTCGTCGACGTACACGAGGATGTAGAACGGCGGCAGGGAAGTGTCGGTGCGAAGAAACAGCGACGGGTCAGCAGTAGAAGGAGCAAACCCAAGAGCCGCAAGCGTAGTCCTCAGTGTGTCGTGCCACTCACGCGGTGCCTGGCGGAGACCGTAGACTGGCCGTCGGAGGCTCCACTGGGTGCAAGGAGGGAAAGTCCCAGTGAAGCCAGGTGGACGGCGAAGCCAGATCTCCTCGTGCAGGCTACCCTGTAAGAACGCAGTGCTGAAGTCGAGAGAGTGAAGCTCGTAGTCCGCGCTGAGCGGCTATGTGCAGCAGCACCCGAAGAGTAGTCATCTTCGGGGTGGGAGAGAAGGTCTGAAAGTAGTCAACTCCCTGCCGCTGACTGAAGCCACGAGCAACGTACCGTGCCTTGAAGACAGGTGGAGAGCCCGGCGGCCGCTTCACCCTGAAGATCCACATGCCACTGACGATGTTCGCCCCAGGAGGGGGAACCGCGTCAACGTAGGTGCCTGTGGACTTCCAGGAAGCCATCTCTGCATCCATAGCTGCCTGCCACTGAGAGGAGGTAGGGACCCTCTACGGCCTCCGCGTAAGAACGCGGAGTCGGGATGTCTAGTGCATCCGGGTCTCCCTCAGGGGCAAGCAAGTACAGACGCGAGATGAGGTGAAGCAGCCGCTAGACACTGTAACTCCGTCCTGTCTGTCCTCTAGGACGTCCGTGCCAAGAGCACACTCACCCCCGACGGACGGAGGACAGACAGACGCAGACACAGCAACAAGACTAGCAGCGTAGTCGAGACGACAGCGAGCAGCAAAGTCAACGAGCTCAGCGACTAGAGCAGACGCAGCAGTGGACTCAAAAGAGGGGTCGTGACGACAGTAGCAAGCAGACGCGTGACAGTAGGACTCGCAGCGCGAAGAGAGTCCGACTCAGGGTCGGCAAGCGCAGGAATTGAGGACTCAGGAGGAGAAGGCAAAGGGGCACGCAGAGGAGCAGTGGACGGACGCAGAGACATCCGGTGCGTGCCAGGGACAGGAGGAGACGCTGACGCGAACTGCGACCACTAGCGCGAGCAGCACGAACAGGCGACCGCGGGACGAGACGCAGGCTCACGACGCTCAGCAAGACCTCCAGTAGGACCAGAGTAAGGAGAGGGAGCAGGCAGTGGAGAGGAAGGCTCCAGTAGGGACTGCGACTGGACAGGTGGTGGACCCTCGACTGGAGGAGAAAGACCAAGAACCTGCTGCAGGAGCGGAACGAAGTACGGCCGAGGCCGCGCGGCAGCTCCAGACTCAGCAGGGACAGCACCAGCACCCTCAGCTACAGCACCAGCGCCACCCACACCTCCAGCGGCAGGACCAACAGCAGCAGGCTCAGCACGAACGCCCCAGCAGCTCCAGCTCCAGGAGGACCCGCAGGTCCAGCAGCTCCGGGACCGGCAGCACCCGCACCCTCGACGGTCGAAGAAGCTCCAGCTCCAGCTCCAGCAGCACCTCCAGACTCAGCAGCACGCCTCCAGCGGCGAGCGAACCACTCGCGCAGCTCCTGTGGAGAGAGGGGCTCCCGGCGAGACGCAGCACCAGGAGAAACCCCAGGCTCAGCAGCTCCAGACGCAGCACCCCCAGGCTCAGCAGCTCCCAGCTCAGCACCCCCAGGCTCAGCAGCTCCCGACCCAGCACCCCCAGACCCAGCACCTCCAGGCACAGCACCCCCCGGCTCAGCACCCCCAGGCTCCGCACCCTCCGCAGTAGCACCCTCAGGCCCAGCACTCCCACCAGTAGCACCCCAGGCTCAGCACCCCCGCGCACAGCACCCCCAGAGTGAGCACCCCCAGGCTCAGCACCCGCAGCAGCACCAGAGTCACCAGTAACCTCGACCGGGTCAACGGCGTCTACCTGGGACACACCTGAGGGGGCAGGAACCTGAGGGGGGAGGGGGTCTACCGGGGGGGAACCGGCACAAGGAAGTCCGGGGGAGGGGGAGGGAAGGAGTGCGGTAGGGGAAGAGACGGTAGAAGGGGACTGACTCGTCGAACGTGACGTCCTGGGAGGACAGAACACGACGAGAGGAGGGGTGGTAAAACTGCCACCCTGGGGCGTCAGTGGGGAAGCCAAGGAAGACACAGGGAGCAGCACGAGGGGACAGCTTGTCCGCAGACAAGTCGCGGACAAACGCCCGAGATCCCCAGACACGGAACACAGACGCATCGCCAACCTTCCCCGTCCACAGCAAGACTGGGGACATCGCAGGCCGAGAGACCCGGGGTGAAGGTTGAGCTGATGCGCCGCGTACCTCACCGCAAACGGCCACAGAAAATGGGGGGCAGCCGCATGCATCATGGACGTACGAGCGACATCCATGACCATGCCAATGCGGCGCTCAGCAATCCATTTTGCTGTGGTGAGTCCGGAAGCGTGAAGGTCTGGCGGATCCCCCGTGCACGACAGTAGTCTCGCAGAAGGCGAGAAGAGAACTCTCCGCCTCTGTCAGAGTGCAGACGCAGAACAGGAAAGTCCGAGCCGAAGCTCTTCCTGAGCTGGAGACGAGCCTCGCGGATCCAGTCGATCAGCACCTCAGTGACCGCACCCTTGCTGCGCAAGGGGAGGACTGTGGTGTAACGCGAGTAGTCGTCAACCACCAACAGGAAGTAGCGCTCGTAACCCTGCCCACGGACGGGGGCTGGGCCCCACACATCCATGTGAAGCGTCTGCAGGGGAGCCTCTGTCGGGGGGAAGTGGGAGGAGTGAGGAGTAGCCCGGAGGCGACCCTCGACACAGGGGACACAGGAAGGTCCTGGCCCGGAGGGGAGAGGAGGGAGAGACTGGGGAAGACCAGAGACAAGGACACGGGAAGCCATGCTCCGAAGACGGGGCAAGGAGGGGTGGCCAAGACGGTGGTGCCACAGGAGAGTCTCGTGAGACAGGAGGCGACAAGAACAGGGGGCAGACTCAGGACCTGACCGGGACGCAGCAGCAAGTACCTGACCCGACGCAGCCACCTGACCAGACGCAGGGACAGGAGGAGACTCAACGGTCAGGGTGTAGAGACTCGACCCCGGCCGACGCGAGAATGTGGCCAGGTGTCGGCCTGTGCGTGCCTCCGTGCAGTGGGTCACCCGCTGACTCGCAGGAGTGAACTGGTGAACACCCCCATCCTGCAGGTCCGCTCCACTCACCAAGTTCGTGGAGAACGAGGGAAGGTACAGACCCGACAGGGTGCCCGAAGGGGCAGCCGGACACGGGAGGACAGTGGAGAAGTGAGACAGGACAGGACCTCCAGAGGGGTCAGCAAGGGAGACTGCAACCGGCCGGCCGCCGAGCGGCGTAAAGGTAGTGCGGTCTCGAAAGAAGGAGCGAGAAGCTCCGGAGTCAAGTGTGAAAGTGAGGGAGGACGAGGACGA